TGTCCATGTGCATGCATACGCTGTACTGCTATATGTTCTTTGCATGCAGAAGGACCTAATTGGATATTTATTCAGTGAGACTGTTTTATTAATGAAGAGAAAAAAATCTCAGCGAAATTTTGGATGCTATGTCATGCATGGACTTACAGTCGACTAAAACCATTGGGTTTCTTTGTAACCTAAACTCTCTTGCCTAATTATGTGGACCTAAGTACGGAACTATAAATGTATTTATTGCTTTTAAACATCGTCTTATTAGATTGAGCCCACTCATTGGACTTAAATTATCTCCCACTTTCATATCACCTGATAAGGTGATAATCAAGTCACTGACAGAAGGGCTGATTGGGCCAAAACTAGAGACAGGGCTCTGAAACCTGCCACTTGAAACTACTTTTAATTGTAGGATTACAATCCTTTACCATGGAAGTTTAACTTCTTAGTTATATTGTGCTGATCATGGCTGCTATTTTAAGAAGTGTAAAAACCAAATACCCTTACAATGCATATCAAAACCTAATTTATCTTGTAAGGTCCAAAAATTGTCACTTACTTAATGAAGTTTCACCTAATTTCTTTAGACAGAAATACTATCTGCCTTCTTCTCTATGCTTCCCAATTTTGTTCTTTCCATTTTTGTTATGAAACGATAAGCACTGATTGTATTCTATCTTACATTATAGTTTATTGTTTGGGATCTCGCTTTAGATTCCCATTACTGGAATTCAATTATTTCAGGGCAACAAGGGCTCCACTTTTTGCTTTGAAGTTACTATTTTTTGAGTATCTCCACCATGCCAGGAGCTGTGCCAGGCATTTTACATCCACCATCTCATTTAATTCTTATTGGAGGTATATACCATAATCATTAGCATTTCAGCAAAATAATTGTATTACTTTACAAGAGGTGAAGAAACTGAATCTCAAAGAAGTTGTTTTCATTTATACATCTCACCTGGCTTTGGTCCTTGCTCATAGCATATATGAAAAGAGTGACTGTCAAATTGAAACACAGAATTGACACTGATGGCCATTTATATGGAATTTTACTCTCCCAAGGATCATGCACCCAAAATGATGTTAATATCTTGGATTAGATGACTAGACTAAATCTGAACAGCTATTCCAGAAATGAAAGCTCCCTAATGCACTATTAATTTTCTCTGTCAAAGAGAGTATGCATTCTATATTGCTACAGGCAATTAGGGACATAACAGATGTGTTATTTGGAAAAACACTGTTGCAGGAAACAAAAGTATGCAAATTACGCCTCTTCTGCACACTTCAAGACACATTTTTAAAGATGTAAACTTTCTCAAGGTCATGTGCTGACATTCTGAAATAATTTCTTTCCCTAGAGTAGGGTGACCACAACTCAGGCTTTTAAATAGAAGACCAAAGAAGCTAAAATAATGTTTCAGAGCAGTAGTTGCAATTCCTACCCGACTATTTTTTTCTAAAACTGATCTAGACAAATACACTGTGAGAAAGAGCAGATAATGAGAAATATAAGTGACTCAAATGGGGAAACTGCACAACAAATAACATTTCTGCCTGAGAAAGCTACCAGATACTCTGCTGGGGACCATGTTTTAAATAGAGACCTACACAAGTAAAGCATTTCTAATCCAGTTTCCTTTCAGAGGTGAGGAAGTTTAGGCCTAGAGAAGTGGAAATAACTGTCCGAAGTCAAAGAGCAGTTAAATTAGAATGCAGCCTGGAACTCAGCCTCTGGCCTCACAGTTGCTCCAGCTGCTCCATCTCTGAGTCCCTGTCTCCGGTCTACTTCTTAAAAGCTGATACCCACAATTCATGACTTACATACACGACTCCCTAGACACGGCAACCAAGATTTCTGGTGGCAACGTATGCCCTGTTGGCCTGTGCTGTTTATCGCTTGCATGACAATCTCATTTCACTTGCCAAGATAAAGCCTCCTTCAGGTAGTGGTCCCATTTTACCACCTGTGCTTCCTATATCAGGCTGAGCCAATAACTCTTCCCTCCAGGAAGCCTTGACTAGAAAGAATCTTTTAACAGATGCATCAAAACATAAGGAACTTTGGAATCAGATATCCTCACTGTCAATCCTGCTTCTGTTTGTGCTGTCTTCATAACTGTCACAATTTCTTATGATTCCTGAGCCTCACTTTCTCCATCTTTAAAACAGGAGACATGATGACTACTGGGCATTGTTGTGATAGAGATTGAATGAGATAATGTATCAGTAGTGTTTATCCCATGGAAGATGATCAGCAATTCACAGAGGTTTGCCATTGCTGTCCTTAGGTTTAGGCCAGAAGTTTCCACTAGATTTTCTGAGTTGTCATTGTTCTGTGGATACTATTAGCAGAACACGTGCTTCCCAGAAGACTGGGAAACAATCTGTTGGGAATACACTGGGACCAATATATTCCTGGCAAATTATCTTTGCACAAGCAAAATAATAGAAATAGAAGACTTCGAGGAAAATGGAAAAGCATTCTATACATTGTTCCCACACAGGGATTCTGTCTTTATTGTTTCCTTCATTCCAGTAGGCTAGGTCAAGTTCATATTCAGTGATGACCTTGAGATAACGCTCAAGTGCCTTCACCCCTGTTTTGGAGTCCTCCAGAGAAACAGGACCAATAGAGTGTACAGAAAGGGACAGAGCAGGGAGAGAGATTTATTTTCAGAAACTGGCTCACGTGATTATAGGGTCTGGTGAGTCTGAAATTTGTAGAACAGGCCATCTGACTGGAAATTCAGGAAAAAGTTGATGTTTTAGTCTTTAGTCAAAATCTGAAAGCTAGAAATACAGGCAGGTTTATATGTCATACTCTTGAGGCCGAGTTGCATTTATCTTGGGAAACCTTAGTCTTTGCTCTTAAGGCCTTCAATTAACTGAATGAGATCCACCCACATCACTTAAAGTCTTCTGATTTATTTATTAATTATTTTTCTTTTATTTTGAGATAGGGTCTCACTTTGTGGCCTAGACTAGAGAGCAGTAGTGTAATCATGGCTCACTGCAGCCTTGACCTCCTGGGCTCAGGTGATTTTCCCACCTCAGCCTCCTGGGTAGTTGGGACTACACATGTGCACCACAACAGGTGAATATTATGTTTTTGGGTTTTTTTTCCAGAGATTGGGTTTTGCCATGTTGCCCAGGCTGGTATCAAACTCCTGGGCTCAAGTAATTCACGTTCCTTGGCCTCACAAAGTGCTGAAATAACAGGCATAAGCCACCATGCTCAGCCTAAAGTCTACTGATTTAAAAGTAAGCAAATCTTAAGAAAAATACTTCCATCACATCTAGACTGGTGTTTGATAAGTACACACCATTGACTAGCCCAGTGGACGCATAAGTTAACCATCACAATTCCCAACTTATAGTATCTAGTAAATGCAAGCAGGTGGAGTAAAATGAGTGTCTAAAGACATAAAAAGCATGTTCAAGAATGTAGAAAGGAACTTTGAAGCTAAGTGGAATACATTACCATCCACACATCACTCAATTTGGAATGGGGTATCCATGCTTCCTGCACCACCTTCACCAGTACGGAAGGGATAGAGAAAGTGACAAACTTTTTCCCACTTAATCATGCCAGTGTGGACACTGACTTGTCAAGGGTAATTCAGTTCCCCATCCTTGTTGAGTGCCCTGTGGTGCTGATTGGAAACCAAGGTACTCTGCCAGCTGCATGAGGAACACTCACTACTGAGCATTTCCAGGTTCTTCCTTGACTGTCAGTCAGGAGAAGCAATACTCCTCCATGTGTGCTATTACTTGGAAAGACAGAGTTAATTGTTGAGTTCCTGGACAAATTATCACAAAATACAAGTTGGCCAACAGAAAAACATCAACCCCTAGAGATGCAAGGAAAAAGATGTTTTGTTGATGCAAGGTTTAGAGAGAATAGTCCACAAAACTGCACTTACTTCTGACAATCAAATGCAAATTCAGGGGCTTCCACAATGACTCTTGGATTTGACAATTAGCTAGAAGGATTCACGGAACTCACTGAAGGCTGTTATGCTCATGGTTGCAGTTTACTACGCTAAAGAATACAGATTAAAATCAGCCAAGGGAAAAGGCATATAGGACATAGTATGGAAATTACAAAATATGGAGCTTCTAGTTGTCCTCTCCCCATGGAATTATGAATAGTGTTACTTTCCCAGCATCAGTGTGTGACAATACGCACAGACCATTTCCAAACAAAGGAGTTCATCCAAGCCTTGGTGTCTAGAGATTTTATTGGGACTCTCTTACACAGGCATGACTGACTGCCCACATGGCTGATTTCAGTCTCCAGCCCTTCCAGAGGCCCAGCAGATATTGCATAACCAAAACTCCTACCCTAAATCACATTGTTATCATCCAGTTGGCCCAAAGCCTGCATGTGACAGAGATACATCTATCAGATAGGATATCCCAATGATTTAGAGAGATTACCTCCCATGAGACAAGGGCAAAAGCCAGACTTTCTTTGGGCAAGGTTAAATATTCTTTACCATTAAGCTGGACAGTTGGTTTTGCCTGAGGATGTTCTCCTGCTGTAACTCTATGATAAGGAAATCTATAGCATGGTTATGTATGAGATGAGCATCTGTCAAGCATTTGTTTTGCTCTGGTTCTTCTCTGAAATGCGTTTCCAGCATTGTCTCTATTAATCCTCATTGCAGCCCTATGAGGTAGGCATTACTTTTAATGGCATTTTATGTATGAGGAACTGAGGCTTGCCTTGCCTATAGTTACAGAGCTAGTGAGTAATGAAGATGGATTATAAACAAGGGCTATATGAGTCCAGAGTCCATGTTCATAGGCACACTGTCTCTCTTCCATTTGAAATAGATGTCCACAGACAAGTGCATAGCCAAAGAAGGCAAGATTGTTGAGTGAAAATTGTCTAGTCCTGCTGTCCTGTTCCATGGTACACGCAGCCTCAGAATGTTGCAACATACAACTCTTCTCACTTAAAAGTAAATATAAGGCAGAACAACATGAAGACTTACCATGAGCTCATGGTGTCTTGATCAAAGAAGGCTTAGTGACAACAATATTTCAAATGATCTCTTTGTCTGGCATCCTCGAAGTCTGTATACCCTGGAACACCAAACAATAATGAGGTTCTGAATTCGTGAAAGGCATGCCTTTCTTTATAAACAGGATAAGGGCGATTCTGAAATGGGAGGTAAGAAAGAAGACCTGCTTGGGTCTTCAAACACAAATGCCTTCTCAGAAAGAAAATGTTAGAACAGAAAACACAGAGAATGTTCAGAGTCTGAAAATTGTCCCCTTAAAGCTCTCCATGTGAGCATGTTCCCCAGGACTCTTCATGTACCCCAGGATACTTAGTTTGGTAACAACTAGTCTGAATGATCCAATTTCTTAAACCAACTTCTTAAATTTCAGAAAAGCTGCCATGAACCAATGTCCGATAATCATTAATAAATAAACTGGGATAGGGGTGGAAGATATGGAGAATTTAATCTGAAGTCCAAGTGAAGGAGAGAGAGAGAGAGAGAGACAGTGGAATTTTAATGTTTATAATGAATGATGACTGGTAAGATGTGAACCTAGTGGTGCTGTGAGAAACAGGCCCCCCACCAACCTTGGGCAGGGGAAGTGATGCGGTCTAACCTCAGGTGGCACCATGGAGGAGTGGCTTAGCTCACAACCCTTCTGAAAATGGCAGGTCAACATCCCGACTGATGTTGGTAATCGTAAAAGAAAATGACAAGGCTACAAAACAGACTTCAGTCAGTAAGCAGCTTGAGCTGGTCCTAATCACCAAAAGGTGTACTTTGTTTGTTTGTTTGTTTGTTTGTTGAGATGGAGTCTCACACTGTCACCCAGGCTGGAGTGTAGTGGCACGATCTCAGCTCACTGCAACCTCCACCTCCCTAGTTCAAGTGATTCTCCTGCCTCAGCCTCCCGAGTAGCTGGGATCACAGGTATGCACCACCATGCCTGGCTAGTTCTTGTACTGTTGATAGAGACAGGGTTTCACCATGTTGGCCAGTCTGGTCTCGAACCTCTGACCTCAAGTGATCCACCCGCCTGGGCCTCCCAAAGTGCTGGGATTACAGATGTGAGCCACCATGTCCAGTACCAAAAGGTGTTCTTAATGGGAAAATGTTTGTGAGTTCCCTTTCTTCTGCCTAGGTCTGAGAAAGAAATTCTCGAAAGAAGTAACAAGAGAGCTCAAGCTCCTTTCAGAAAGCCAAATGGTGAGCATGAGCCATGGAATTACCATTTGGATCTGGAGTCACTTTTATGACCATATTGTCCTCCCCCTCCTCAGATGGGTGACCGTGGAAACATCAGTTACAATTGTGATTTTATGGAAATATGAAAAATGGGTGTTTTCCCATTTTACTACCTTTAAATTTTGTAAATGGGTAATTTGAAAATTTAACATGTAAAACTACCTCACACAGATTATTTTACCATACTTTGAAAACAAAAAATATTTTTTAAAAACTTAACCAAAACACTGTCAGTGCCTCATCGTCCCTGCAACTCTAAAATTACCCCAATATATTATTCTGAGTGGAGCTAAAAAAGGCATCAAAGTCGCATCATTGTAATGAGTTGAAAAGTGAAAACTTTAACCAGTTACATCATCCCTATAAAAACAAACAAAAATATTGTGGGTTGGAGATGCATTTCCTCTTTTTGGTGTTCATTTACCCTACCGGACAGAAGTCACTTGACATTTGGTTTTGCATAGCTGTTGTCTGTGCCACTTAATATAGTGCAGTGCCTCAAATTTGGGGGTTTGTATGGTCCAGAAGAAGCAGGTACACTCTCTCCTGGCACTGTTGTATGAGATATTAATAACGTTTTAAACTTTTAGTTTAGAAGAGAAAATGTTCTCTCCATTTCCAGAATGGGAAGCTCTCATATCACAGGGAACAGCAGTACCAGCAGGTACAGCTCAGATAAGGTGGAAAATAAAACCAAAAAGAGAGTGGATTCCCAGCATTTTCTTCAAAGGGAGGAGTATGTGTTCAGCTTCCTTTTTATTGGCACTTACAATTACCACTGGACCAAAGCATGTCTATATGTTAACAGACGGAGGGGTAAGTCTGGGTAAGGTGAGAGCCTAGGCTTTGAGGTAATGGATAAAGGCATTTGGAGAAGAGGAGGATGAGAGACTGTTTCAGTTTTTAGATGAAATGAAAAAAGAATCTGCCTTTGTTTCCAACTCCCTGGCCTTCTTTTGCCATGACCTGGCACAAATAGAAGATTGAAAAATAAATAAATAAATAAAGGCAAGATGGTTTTGTTTCTGCAAATGCCTTGAACAAAACACATGTTTCTGTTTAATACTGGATAAGCTCCAACTGATGTCTACATCCTTGTCAAAATGTTTACTTTACTGTGAGATATATTTTTTTTTAAGTGGGGTATTATGAAGCCATGTTACAGCTCTGGACTTTAAAGTGACTGCCAGCCTCCTTTGAAAAGCCATTGTTTTACCCTCTTCCCTAATCCCTTGCAAATTAAATCTTTATTTTAAAAACATTATTTTATGCCTGAAAGTGATCAATCTCGGTACAAAACCAGTAGAAAACTTGATGAAGAATTGAAGGAAATTCACCAAGGCGACTACTAAGATGACAAACACTGAAAAACGATTTTTTTCCCCCCATTGGGATATTTTGCACAATATCCTGATATCATGTGAACAGCAAAAACAAAAAATAAGCTGGCGTACTTTAAATTCTGAACTACTGATTCAGTAGTTCACAAAACCACTATAGAAGGAAGCTTAAAAATAGAAAATGTTACTTTATATCTCCTTGGTTATTTTATTAAACTCTGTAGACCTGAATAAGGTAAAATACATATGCCATGAATTATAAATATGTCAACATAATAAATGAACCTGAACAGTTTTATCTCACATCTTTACTAGAAAATTTAACCACATAAAAGCCACGTACTATGATGCAAGAGACTACAGGACAAATATAGAAGTAGAAAAATGTGTCTGGAGATAACAGCTATTTTAACTAAAAGATAAAAGAATTTTGTAAAAATAAACTAAAATTAAAGCCTTTGATACTCACTATAAAAAGGATTTGATTTCTCCCTTTTCCATTTTTATAATCCTTTAGATTATTTTTGTCCACCTTCTGGGTAAAATACTCACCCATTTTCCAATGGAGTTCTGGGTCCTGTTTCTTCCGCTAGCATTTTCTGACTTCAGGTTCGTCAGCTCTTGTTTGCTGCTCAACAAGTCACCTGAAATGTAGTGGCTTAGAACAGCAATTGTGATTCTGCGGGCGTATGGCGGGTTCTAGCCACTTTGCTGGCTTCCTCGGGTGGATGGTCTCACACGATCTCATCCAAATTCTGAGGCCTCGGCTGGGCTTCCGCAAGGCCAGCACAGGCTCGCTCACTTGTGGCGGAATGATTCGCAGCAGGAAGAAAAGGCATGCGCAATGCACAAGCACTTGTCAAGCCTCCGTTTGCACCTGATTTGCTATTATCCCATTGGTCAGAAACAATCACACGACTAAGCTCAACGGTGGTGCGGCTGCAGGGAAAGACTGACTACTTAAAGGGAATAGACATAGACAGTGGGAAGTGAAAACAATGTTAGGGGTATTATCCTAATGATCCACCGCTGGAGGCTAGTCAATTAACCCAAGACTGAATTTCTTTTTTTTTTTTTCTTTTTTTTCTTTTTTTTTTTTGAGATGGAGTTTCGTTCTTGTTGCGCAGGCTGGAGTGCAATGGCGTGATCTCGGCTTACTACAATCTCTGTCCCCCTGGTTCAAGAGATTCCCCTGCCCAACTTCCGGGGGAGCTGGGATTACAGGCACCCGCCACCATGCCCGGCTAATTTTTGTACTTTTAGTAGAGATGGGGTTTCACCATGTTGGCCAGGCAGCCGGTCTCGACCTCCAGACCTCAGGTGATCCACCCACCTCACCCTCCCAAAGTGCTGGGATTACAGGCATCAGCTACCGTGCCCAGCCAAGACTCAATTTCTTAATCTCTAAATTTGAAACAATAATTTATTTGTATTGCTAAAAAAAATTGTTTGGAGAATTAAATAAGAATATAAATGGAAACTTTTGAAAAATGTAGAGAACTCTATAATTGTACAAAGTTATTATTTGGACAGAAAAATCTAACCACGTTATTCTATATGGCTTTTTTTTTTTTTTCCTCTAGGCATGGTTTTAAGATTTTATGTAATATCTACCAACCAACTGGAAACAAACTGACCTCAACAATTTAACATTTTTTATGTATTGTCAAGGCCAAATCATACTTTTTTTACCTGAATTTTTAATGTTTCAGCCAGTCATTTGAGTCATATTCATCAACTTAGCAGTAAAACCTGGTATTGTCTAATTGAACCTTTATAGAACCAAGACTTTGTCTACACAATGTTACAGTATCTGGGCAATTTAACAAAGCTGTTTTTTCTGAGGCAGCTGGATGTTTCATCTAACACTGAAGATTTTGAATCTCTACTGACCAACGGAACGGTGTTTTATTTTATTTTTATGAGATGGTGCAACTGCCTGCCTTATAATAGCCTTGCTAATTCTAGAATATGCCCTGAGATTAAGATGTCTTTTGCTGACAAAAGTGACTTTTTCCTGCCACACCCAATGTATCTCCTTCACATTAAATTTTCTCTTGCAAAATAAATGAGTTCTACTTATAAGAAACCGAGGAGAATAAAGATTTAAAACAACATGTTGAGTTACAGTTGCCATGGGAACGTTTTTTCTTTCTTTCTATTTTAATCTTTGGGGCATGTGAAATGAGAGCTTACTGGTGTAGTATAGTGGTATTCTATTATCACAGTTACCTGAAATTAACAAAGAGGAGCCTGAAAAATCAATGTTTGATTAGTTGCAACAAGAGTTTGGAACTCACAATCATCTTCAGAATTTGGTTCCAAAGTTCAAGGGAGCAATCAGGATTTTAGCATGGTTTTCATATTTTGGGTTAAAAAAACACTTTTAAAAATTGTACTTATCAAAATGCAACCAAATTTTAATTATTTATTATCCACTGTCCTCAGGAAATAGAAGTTTTACAGCAAAATTTGTACCCCCGGTCTTTAATATTCTGCACATCTGTAAAACATACATGTATATTAGAGGTATACATCTCTGGCAACTATTCATTAAGGGGCAAATAGTTATCACCTTATCACCAACAATTTATCCAGTGCATAGAACTCATTTATCCCTCAATTTTCTAATCCTTCTTACTCTCCTTTCTTTTTTTTTCTCCATTTCCTTCTTTATATACGTCTACTTTTTAATCTTTTCTTTCCATTTGATTTCTCAATTGTAACATTGGCAGTCACAGGATTTCTTAGCAAATTTGGTAGAATTATTGCAAATTTGATTATGTTCTATGATGAATACTTTCAGATAGAAATTAGAATTACTAAAGGAAACATCGAAAATGGTGGAAAAAAATAAAATAAAAAATCTTGCATTTATCTCAAGGTAATATAGCTCTTTAATTACAACTTTCTATCTTGGTTGAAAGTTTTAGCTATGTATTTGCTAGGCCTCACTCATGGATATGATACTTAATATTTAAGAAATACAAGCACTCTTATGTTAGATATTTGTAAAATAACTTTAGTACATATGAATTATAATGAATGGTAGTTACAGCACAAGGATTAACATCATCACAATTCTTTAATTTGTTGATGTTAACAGTATTTAATAGACTGTTTAAATTGAATCACTATAAAATTTAAAGTTCTGGCAACAATCAAATTTGAAGGGGAAAAAAAAGATTTACTTATGTCCAACATAACTTTTGGCTTAAGTATAGTTCTTGGCATTCTAATTCTTTGAAAATGAACAATACTATCATTAATCAATAATTCATTCACAGCTATGGCATAAACTGAGGATTATAATTTTTCTGATTTAATTTGTTGATCCCACACAGTAAAATTAGATTACACCAATTGTGTAGTCAAAGGCAATGGTCATTACATTTTAAAAAAACCTAATACAGTCTGCCCCTAATCCAAATGCTCAGCTCCATCTTCCATAACCAACCACTTCTAAGCAACCCATTTATGAGCCACAAGGAACTTGGGCTCCATTCTCAGACCTGCCATGGTGCCCCTGCTCTGGCCATCTTCCCTGAGATCAAGAAGACATTCCCCCACAGGGCCCAGGTCTTCACCCTTCTAGACCCAGAACTCTGAAACTCTGAAGCCCTAGAATTCCCTTCCTCAAGTATCCTAAGCCCTCTTCAAGGCCAGAGTGAAGCTTATCCCTGGAGCAGACAGACAGTGAGGTGTTTATCCCCAGGCTCGTTGTGTCCACTCTTCTGCCCAGAGGCCACTCTAAGTAGAGACAAAGCTGTGAGAAAGAGGAAGGTGCTGGACACAGTCAGGGCCTCCATGAAGTGCTTTTTCTCAGCCTCCACATAGATTATGGAATGAACCTGTGTATCACTTTCCCAAACCTACAGTGCTCTTCCGAGTTTAAATGTCTTTGCACCTGCTTTTCTCCTGAAATTCCATTCCCCCTCACTCCTGGTGATGTCCTCCAGATCCAATTCCACTTCGTTTTCAAAAATCCCCATGACTTCTCTAGACAGACTAGCTGTTCTCTCCTTTGGTTTACTAGCATGTTTTACCATCATTTACTATAGAATTTAACATACCTGACTATAATTATTTATTTACACATTTGCCTCCTCATGAGAAATTTGAGGGCAGCAAGACTTAACTTCAACTAGTGACCCTTCATTAATGTTTAATAAATGTGAATTGAATTAAATGCACTAAATGCATCATTTATTTATAAATTGGTTATCAAACTCATTTGTCATGCTAAAATTCTTTAGGTTAGATCTTAGGTTAGTACCATGTTTTTATTAGCGTAAAGGAATAGAATCATAAATTCAAAATTAGTTTAAAATATTTTCCAAATGTGACTAATTCCAAAAATTCCATCTAGAAAGACAGATATTTGACATATAATGTAATCCTTGATAAAAACTGATGGTTATATGTTGTATGGCTTTAAATGGAGAAGGATGTCCACAACTAAAAACATGACCAAGAAAATGTGTCATATTTATACATTAGATGCATCCATTAAATCAGACATTACTAAGTACATAAAGCCAAAACTCTAGCCAGTCTTATCCTAGAGTAATTCAAATCAATACATTTATTGTAGCTTGCTCCTTTGCAATGCAGAGAAATGGGAAAGAAAATCAAAGGAATTTCAGGATCCTTATTATTTAAAACACCTAACTGTATACCTAAATTATGCAGCATAACAGAAAAAAATCTTAAAAAAAGAATGCAATGTAAATGTAAAAAAAAAAAAAAAAAAAAAAAAGCCTCCATTTGTTGCTCAAAATTTTAACAAATACACAACAGCTTGAATTTTGCAATTTTTAATAGGTGCTAAGCACTCTTCTGGGCAGTTTACATGTGGTAAATTGTTTAATCCCCACAGAATATTGTAGGTGGAAACCGAGAATCAGAATAGTTAAGCACCTTGACCAAGGTCACACAGTTAGCCTGGGAGTAGAACTATGGCAGTCTGGGAGGTAGAAATATCAAAAGCTGGAAGTCACTGAAATATATATGATAACTGGGGTCATGGGGGGAAATTATGGGTGGAGAGCACCTGGTCAGTTAGAAGAGAAAAGAATGAATCCCAGGGAGATCAGCAGCATTGAAGGGACTGGACAAACAGAGATGCCCATGCAGGGAATGGAGCAGGTAACACCAAAGAAGTTGAAGAAACAAGAGAAGAACTGATGTTCCAGAAACCAAAAGAGGGAAGGATTTCATTAGGGCAGCTCAATAGTATCTATCAGACCTTATAAACACACCATACAAGTTGGCACAGAGAGGTTCCTATTTGTATTTAGAAAGTCTTTGTCAGACAGTTTAGATGCAAATGAAAGCCTGATTTGGTGAGCTGATGAATGAATGGAAGGTGATTATGTAGGAGTCAGAGAAAGATGAATCTTTTAGAGGGTGTTGAAAAGAAAGAGACACAAGGGGGAAGCTTGGGAGATAAGCAAGGTTCCAACGTTGTTCTAACTTCTTAAAAAAGGAAAATGGTCAGATAAAGCAATTTTAAATAAGGCAGTTTTGTCAAGCCACTGGCTTCCTACATTTTCATACAGCAGAACCTAGGTTGCTGGAGATCCTTGTTACTCAATGTTTGGTCAGCAGCATCAGCATCTCCTGCGAGCCAGTAAAAAATACAGAAACTCAAACCCCACTCCACCCAAAATCTGTGTTTTAACAGAAACTCTTGGTGACTCAAATGCATTTTAAAGTTTAAAAAGCACTGATCTAAATTCCACTAGAGATAACCCAAAGGAAAAGCTTATCTACTAAAATGTAGTTTAAAGTTGTTTTAATTTGCTTTGTAGACACACCAAAGACATATCTAGTTTATTTGTAAATATCAGCATTGCTCTTTCCCAAAGCCAGTAATTAACTAGTTTCAAATTATGCTTTCTATTTCAAGTAGTGAACATTTTACTCTTGAATTCGAATGCTATCACATCAACAGATTCTATAGGTTTACCTGGGTGTGGCACCCCCTACAGACTGCAGTGTTCTATAACCTTCTACAATTTAATGCAATATTCAATTTCCAAAGGTAAGTGTTTTATGAACTTCACTCAATGCTGGTGCTTACTTTCCTCAAA